TTCACAGATGAGGAAACTGAGCCCCCAAAGCTTTCTCAAGGCTATGCAGCTGACATGGGATCAAAAATCCAGTTCTTTGCCTTCTGTGACCAGGTCCTCATAACTCACACCACCTGGAGGTATGAGCAGTTCTCCCCAGTACCCCATACCCCAAGAAAAGAGAACATGAGAACCAGTGCCCTAAACCCAGCCCACCCCTAGCGCAACCTCTAAAACTGCCTCCAGTCAACTCAAAGTCCTAGAAGGGTGAGACGGTAGGCCGGGGCTTTTCACTATGTCCTCTCAAAGGTACCCCATGCCAACCCTGCTCTCCCTGCCCCCAGTCTGAGCCATCGCACCTGGGATGCATGGGCTTCCTGGCTCTTGAGCAGGTGCCCTCCTCATCTCAGTCTTCACATCTGTACGGCGGGGATGAGTTCTTGCTCAGGGAGCTGGGTCCTGCTCCATCAAAAGCAGTGGCTTCTCTCTCTTTCCAGGACCCTGACCCCTAAAAGCCTCAAGGTTCCACAAGCTCCAGCCAGCTTTGAGAGCACAGGCAGCTGGGCAGCAACTGGGAAGCCACATCCAGAGGCAAAGCCCCATCTGCAGCAGGGTCCCACGGCCTCCTGAAGCCTCCACCACTGCCTCCAGCCCCCACCCAAGAGGCGTCAGCACCAACGACCCGCAAGGGCCTGCCCATTTGCCTTTCTTTTCATTGCTGGCTCCGCACAGTTATAGAACCAAGTCTCCACAGAGTAATTTACTGGCAGAATCTCTCCCAGAATCCAGCTTGAAACCAAGCTGTAAAAACAGCTTCGAGTGTAAATAATTCATGCAGACAATATGACTTTTTTATGTAAATTCGGTACATTAACCCTCTATTATAATGATGGACGACAGATAGGGGCGACGTTGCCTTGGTAAGAGCTAATGGATGGCCGCCATAAATTCACTGCACATTTTATTGTGTTGCTGGAAATTGTGCCTTCAGGCAATGCTGTTTACTTTTATGTAAAACTCTAGGTTCCCTAAATATTACAAATATTTTACATCCAGCTCCTCAGCATTTGGGCTCTGCCCACAAATCAAGCTTTCTCCATGTGAGTTGTAATTAAAGATTTGTTGTTGTTTTTTTTTTCTGGGACAATTATCTCCAACTATAAAGAGAAATATTTTCCCCTTTAGATGCTCCGTCATTGACTTATTAACAAATCCTTTGAAGAAGGAGGTTGTAAGTGACTTGCTGTGGTACTTGGCAGGAGATGGGTGTGTAGGAGGGGGCGCTGTGGGCGCGAGAGCTCGGTGGCTGGCTTTTATGTCTGGCCGCCACTCCGGTTTATTTACACATATGATATTCTGGGCCTTCCTCCCCCCCTCTTTCTATAATTCATGACCACTTTAGCAGGGTAATTCCTCTCGCCACCTTTGTGAGGGATTGGTCCCCTGCAAGGCCCCTACCCATCCTCCTCTGGGGATGCAGACGGTGGGGCCTTGTGCCCAAGAGGGTCAGAAGTAGAGTCAGCACAGCTGGCTGCCCACACACCAGGCCATTCATTCCTTGCTTGCCCCCCATTCCCCACCACCACTACCCCCGCCCGCGCACATGGCCCAGGGCTCCTTGGATGGAAACTCAGGGTCGCCTGCATTGAGTCTTCTTCAATCCAAAGCGTTCTTTGGAATTGTTCTTTGAGTGCAGCCAACCCTGCCTCCACAGAGGTCATGAGGATGCCATGGAGTCTGCTGGAGGTCTGGGGAGAGGAAGGCCAGGACCTCAGAGGCTTCCTAATGAAAGGAGGCAACAGCTGGAGCAGCAGTCCTCTTTAAAAATAATCCTCACACTTGTTTATTATTGTCATTAATATTAATGGCCAGCTATTAATATTCATATAAATGCATTAATATCATCCAGGAGCACCTGGGATCTCTAAGCACTCCTAATAGCATGTGGATTCTGCCTCCCGAGCCCCCCAAGCCCTGCCTGGCCCGCCCCGTGGGGACAGCGGGTTCCAGCCCACACTTCCACCCCCTCTCCACCATCTCTGATTGGCGCCTGCCTTTGGAAACCCAGCCACATGAGACTCAAAGCCATCTCCAAAACCCAGGGGCTCTGCTCTGAGAATGGGACCTGTGCAGGCCAGGAACCCTGGACATTTCCTGCCTCTCCAAGGGGGCACAGGAAGGCCCTGACACAGATGGCTTAAGAAAGAAAGATAGTTCATTTCCCCCCACAAAGGCTCAATTTCCTGCAGTCAAAAAAAAAGAGGCACGTTGGTTAAAAACAAAGATGAGATATCATTTTTCATTGATTAGATTGGCAAAGGTAATTATAATAATAAGGTATCAGCCTGCCCAGCTCACAGCCTGTGTGCGATCATTCTGCTTAGCCTCTGAGCGAGCAATCTTACTGAATCTGCAGGACAACCCTGCAGAGGACTCTTCATGGCACTGTAAATTTGTGAACCCTTCGTGGAGAACAATTTATAGTATGTGACAAAATGCAAGCTCTGCTTATCCTTTGACCTAGGAATTTCACTTTTAGGAATTCTTTCTGTTTTGCAATGCTAGGTATCAAAGCCAGAGCCTTGCTCATGCTAAGCAATGCTCTCTCCCCAGGCCTCCAAACTTCTTTCAGTCTGAATGTCACCTCCACTAAGAAGCCTTCCCTGACTTCCAAGTCTAAGTGGCTTTTCTTGTTTTATTCTCTCATAGATAGATAGTACCTTTTCCATGCCATATGTACTTTCCTTGGTACTGAGGGATAAAGTGCTAATTGGATAATTATTTGTGTAACTGCTTAACATATATACTCATTGCAAAAATTGTTGTCCTGCTGACAGGGGCTGGAAGCCCCGTCTCCCTACTACATCATAAACTCCATAAGAGCAAGGACTGACCAAGTGTGGTTTGGGGCTGGTATATAGGACACACTTAATAAACATCTGCAGTAGGAATGAGTAAATGAAATGGGCAATGGTATAAGCACACAGGTGTTCGTTGCAGAGATGTGTATAAACCCAAAACAACTGTAAATACATATGGTTCCATCAGCTGCACACCAGACAAGGGAGGCATCCCATAGACCAGTATATCCAGACATCCAATGCAGGCAGGAAGGCTATGAGGTGGATGTATATGGATTGACATGAATGATGTCCATGACATATTGCTGAGTGGGGGGGAAAACAGGTGACAGAACAGCATGTGTCATCTGATCTCACTTGGGGTAGAACTGCATACGTGAAATCTATTTGTGTATATTTATGCACAGAGAGAAGTCTGGAAGGACGTTCACCAAAATGTTATGTGGTTATCTATGGCTGGTGAAATCCGAGGTGGTTTTTGCATTTTTCTTTGAACTTTTCCATATTGTCTGAATTTTTTTTTTTTTTGCAAAGAGCATATGTATCCTTTTTCTTTTTTACAAAATTATAAAGCTGATTTCAAGAGAAAAAAAAAAGTATAGGTGCATGGGGAAAGGATGGGGGTGGTTGTGAGGGAATCAAATTCCAGCAGACCTCACAGATCAGACAGGAGCCGGGGTGAAGGGGGCTGGGGGCTGCCTCCTCCTCTACAGGGCTAGGCACCCTCTGAAGAGGGGGAGGGACACTGGGGCCAGAGCCACTGCCCTATCCCTCCTCCAGGAGCTATGCCTGTCCAGAGTGGAGTTTCTAAATAGGGATTTCCACATTTGAGTCTTCTGACATGTTTTATCGCCTCAGAGCTGTTTTGCAAAATTCATAGCGATTTTCGAAGGCTCCAAGCTTCCTGGGACCAATTCCATTTTGAACAATAGCGAAGTGCCTGCTTGCAGGAGGGGTCGACCCACCCCAGAGCAGCCTCCCGGCCCGTCGAAGCCATGGCATGAAAATACATGAGTTCATCCTTGTCCTTGTCCTCACCCTCCTCTCCTCTCCTTATCTGAGGAGAAGACGATGCAAGAGAACGGCCCCCACCCCAGCAGCTCTCCTGTGCCCTGAGGGGACCCTGAACCCCAGAAGGTGAAACAAAGCCCTTCCCAATAAGAAGTCAAGTGACACGAACAATCCAAGACCACAGAGCAAGATAATGGCAGGGAGCAGAGTAGAAGCCAGGGCTACTAGTGCCTGGTCTGTGCATGCTTGCAATTCCATGTTTTAAAAAATATTAAAGAAAAAAAAGGGTTGTCCAATCTCTTGAGAGCAATCGAAGAGACATGGCCCACTAAATCACATTGATTCCATCACTGGCCTGCTGCCTTCCATCTGGATCCAGGACCCAGGACTTTTTGTAAAGCACAAAACTAACCAGCCTGTCTCTACTTTAAAGCCTTCTGTAGCTCCACATTCCCTATGGGAGGGAAAATACTCGGCTCCTTAGCCTGACACTCAACATCTCATGTGATATGGCCCCAATCCCTAAGTCCACTCCACACCTCATCCCCACACACTTAAACTTTCCCAGCCCAGCCCTCAAAGCTGTCACACCCACACAGGTTTGTCCATAATTCCTAGTCATCCTTTAGGACCTGGCTTGGGAGGCCCTCATCTTTGAGTCTTCCCCATCCCCTACCCACAGGTGAGTCAGATAGACGCCTCCTTCAGCTCCTGCAGATGCTCCATTCAATCAGCAAGCTACTCAACACCTACTTATTGAGCATCTGCTACAAGCTGACCTCTGTCACCACATCTGCTGCATAGTAGGGGCTGTTTCCGTGCTTGCTCCCTCACTAGGCAGCAAGCCCCTGAGGACAGAGACGTGTCCAGCATTAAACCATTGCACAATCATGAGGCAACAGCACAGATCAGCCCTATTTCACAGATCACGGTCTGATCCGGGGCTGCCTCAACTATGGACATGGGTAAGAAAAGAGAAAAGGTTTCCTACAAACCCACCCACTCTTCTGTGCCTTCCCACAATGTGTTTTCTGTTTACACCTCTACAGGCCCCTGCTCTCTTCCTTCTCTTACAATGTTCCCACTTCCCTGAGTCTTTTATAATTCTTCCCAGGATCCTCTGTCTCTTGCCTCTACACCTGATTTTACCTTGGTCTATGGCAATCTTCTGTCACTCATCTTGGTCTCCCAATGTCTGAGTAAAGAATGAATGAATAAACGAATGAATGAATGACATTTCATAGGTAACTCAAACTCAAGTTGTCTAAAACTCATCTTCTTTCCCCCAAAGAGAAGTCTTCCTCCTCCTCCTGTGTCCACTGCCTCAGTGAACACCCTCACTCACCACCCAACCATGGAGCACAAACTGGGCGTCACCACTGGCTCTCCTCCTCCCTCCCATTACTTCCTTATCCAATCACCCTCAGAACAACCTGATCCTGTTCCCTCCCAATCTTCCCCTCCCTCACTGTCTCCCAGCACACCCTCAGTAGTCAGTCACTGAGGTCTCACCTCCAGACATCACCTCCCTCCCTGGTCCTTCCTCCTATCAAGTACAGTGATGTTTCTCCTTCCTGAAGATGGAACTCAGTGGCACTCGGTTGTCCTTGGGGTCCAGTCTTGGGTGATCCAGTCCACTCACTTCTACTGCTGCCCACCCATGTCTCAGCCACTGAGCAGGCCAGGTGGTGCCACCACTCCATGCCTGGGCTCCCTCAGGCTGGCTCACTCTTCTCGGTGTCTTCCTCTGGTGAATTTCTACTCATCTTGCAAGCTGCCACTCAACACTTGCCTGCTCAGAGAAACATCCTGTAATCCCACCCAAAACCACTTCCTACTCAAGACTGAATGATGCTCCTTGGGGCACCCTGTGCTGGCCTGGACCACCGCCTTGATAACAATCACCCCTACTTATTTTTTAATTCCTGTCTCCCACTGCACTGTGTGTTCCCCAGCTGCAGAGGCCCACATCCAGTGAGCATGCGTTCTCATTGTAATGAACCGAGTAGGCTCATCAGTCCTGTTTTACAAATGAGAAAACCATCTCAGAGAGGTGGAGTGACTTTCCTGAGGTAACATTGCTAGCAAGATGTGGAGCCAGGGCTTGAATGCAGATATCACTGCTCCCACTGCACTGCTTCACAACCACTCCAGCAAGCATCTCGTGTACACACACACACACACACACACACACACATAATTTGACATGCATAAGAGTATACAGAATCAATCATACACACACAGCCATACTGACACACAGACTCACACAAGCCATTTACACTGAGCCATGACGCACATATATGAACATAAGCATGCATAGCCATGCGCATGTGCCCAACCCACATGGATGCAGACAAACATACACGTGCAGACAGAAGTTCACGCGCACATGCCCAGTGATGCACACACAGACCCACAGACACGCACATGGTCACAGATAGATGCACACACACACACGCACACACACACACGTGATCAGGGATGCACATACACACTTATGCCCACATGAGCACACAGGCACACACAGACACAAAGAAACCTCACATGCTACACACATGCAGCACTTGTGCCACTCGTTCAAGGACACGTGTGCCACAGATACACACAGAAACACTGTCACATTGGTCACCGTGCACAGATGCGTGCACATATTAGGCTCCCCAAGACATGTTAGTGAATGACGTGGGTCAAATGGAACTGTCTGCTGGGGGCAGGGCCTGTCGGAGGTACCTTGGGGCGCTCACATTTTTGCAGCTCAGGAAGGCAGCTGACATACCAGCCCGGCTGTGATGATATTTTGCATAAATGCTAATGTATTAATTACCATGTACAGTACACAGAGCTGCCATTTGAAAGAAAAAGTTAAGACTTTTTAATTCAAAAGCCCCATGCGGGTGGGGGTAGGGACCTGCCCTGTGTAGAGGGTGGAAGCAGGCTGGGCAACCATGCCCGCGCCTGATGTCCCTGCACTCGGGTCCTCGCCCGTGGGCTTCCAGCTAGTTCTCTGCCTCTAGATGCTTAATGCTCTTCGAGGCCCTGGTACAACCTGGAGCCCCCGCCTGGAAGGGGGTAAGGAGAACATGGAGGACAGGTAAGGCCTAAGCAGACAGAGGGCTGCTTTTCTCTTTGCAAGGCTGGTGCAGAAGTCAGAGCCAGAGGTGTCCAGGCATAGAAATCCTCACTCCATTCAATCCCTTGTCTGCACAGCAGACCACCTTGTGTCCTCCCCAGGCTGCAAGACTACCAGAGGCTTCCTATTGTCTTAGAATACAGTTCACACCAGCCAGGTGTGACGGTTCACACCTGCAATCCATGCACTTGGAAAGCTAAGGCGGGAGGATCACGTGAGCTCAGGAGTTCAAGACCAGCATGGGCAACATATCAACACCCCCATCTTGAAAGATAAAGTTCACACTCCCTAACACGCCTACAAAGCCCGATGTGACTTGACCTCTCTCCAACCTCTGATGCTCTCCCCTCCTTTTGCCCAGTCACCTACACTTGCCAGCTGTTCCCTGAGCCTCTCAAGGCTGGCTTCTTCCCATCAACCAGGCCTTGGCTTGCCTATCACCATCTCAGGAGACCCCACACACACATGCACTTCCCCAACCACCTCATCTGCAGCCTCCTCCCCATCACTCTCATCAACACCACTGTTTTTATGCTTTCAGCTTGTTTGGATCTGCAGAACATTTTGTTGCTTCTGTCCTCTGCTGATTTTTTTCACTTGTCACTTCCTGTCGCCCCCACTGTACAGGGAGCTTTGCAAAGCCGGGACTGTGCCAACCTCGTTTCACCATGATATCACAGCCCAAGGCCAGCAGGGCCTGACACTTTGGGTTTTGTTTTGGGGTAAGTGCTGTACCATTGAGCTACACCCCTGCCCAGGCCTGCCACTTCGTAAGTCCTCAGTAAAACTCTGTCGAATGAGTGAATGAACTTAGCATGAACAAGATTCCAGCTCCATCCCAGGTGCTACTCGCAGGCAGAAGTACTCTCTCCACCTGCCAGGGACTGCCCTGGCTGTTCTTCCTCCCATGAAGGGCTTGGTGGCTCAGGGTCACATCCCTGGTCAGGTGTCCAAGGCCCACAGTGCAAAAGGCATGTCCAGTACCACAGAACATGCTAGAGACTGGAGTCCAGTCCTCCTGAGCCTCCTCCTGCCAACCTCCTCCACCTAAGTGGTACAGTAAAGTAGCAAATGCCCCTGCATTCACTGTCAAGCTCATTCTCTCAGTGCCCGGGAAAGAGGCATCATTTCTGAGGAAATTAAGGTGCAGACTCATAAGTGACTCACCCAAAGTCTTGCAGCTCATTCGCGGAGTCAGGATTTAAATCTGGATTCAGTCCTTTTCAGGGCTTCCTCTGTTCACCGCACTCCAGCCCTTCCTGAGCCCTTGAGGATGCTCCTGACAGCTGGCGCACGGCAATGACAAAGGCCTCAAACATGTCCATGGGCCACTCCTCCTCTGGGAGAGGCAAGAAGGCCAAGGTGGACCTGCCAGGCAGGAGAAGACAACAGCTGGGATGAAGCTGGCTGGCTCACTCCCCAAGCACAGGGCAGGGCCTCCGCTCCATCCTCACCCTCACGCCCACACCCACCCAGCCACCAGCTACTGCCATCTATGTATGCCTCTCACAAACCCGCTCACCCCCAGGGTCACTGTCTCTGCCCTGGTCAAGGCCACCAGATGGCCACCAGCTCCCACCTGTATTCCTCTGACAGCCTCCCCTAGCTTAGTAGGGTCAGCCTAGGAGTGACTCTCCCAAGCTTGAGCCCCATTTCCCAGCTCAGCAGCTCCTCACTCCCCACCCCAGCACTTATGGTGGTTTGTAAACATGCACGATGAGCTGAGTCCAAATCCTAGCTCTGCTACTTACTGGCTGTGTGACCTGGAGCAAGTCACCTAACCTCTCTGTGCCCCAATTGTCTAATCTATAAAATGGGAATAATAATAGTAACCACCCTCCTAAGGTTGCTGTGAGGATGAAATGAGTTAACGTGTAAATCACCAAGAACAGAGCCAGGAACCAGAAGAACACTGTGTAAGAGGCAGCTGATATTTGCCATGGCTTTTCTGATTAATCTGTGCTTTCTCCTCCACAAAATTATAAACGTAGTGTGGACGGGGGGAGGTTACACCAGGCTGCCTACTCAGATACTTCCATGGCCACAACTCCTTTGTGCCCGCAGCCTTTGTTCTGTCTTCCCCAGTCTGGGCTGGGGCTGGCCTCTCAGGAGGGAAGGGCATGGCCTCAGCAGGAAGTGCTGTCAGAGGCAGAGTTCCAGTCCTGATGGAAACCATGGGGTGGCAGCCAGAGAGGGCTGCTTCCACTAGGGGCTGAGTAGAGGCTGTACCCTCCAGAGCCCCAAGTCCCTGGGAGCCCCCACACGGCCAAAGCTCCCTTTGTGCAGAAGGTCAGGAGCAGCCAGCCAGCTGTGGGGGAGTTCCGCTGCCCGCTCCAGCCAGCAGCCCAGATGTGCGTGTTTGTGCAGCCGAGTCCAGCTCTGAAGGAGCCTTGTTGAGCACCATGAAAGGGGCCTGTGATGAGATCGACAGCCTCCACTCCCCAGCCTGCCCGCCTCCAGGACAGCAACCAGGAATGCAGCCTGCAGGAAGCCCTTCCTAAGAGGCCTGCCAAGCACCCGTCTCCTTGAAAGTCAGAGCCACTGGCACGAGCCCTGAACTTGCCAAGTGCAAACTGGATGCCTGCGTTCTGACCCATGCTCACTTCCCCCTTCTGTAAGATAGGCAGAGGCCCCCGCCTCATAACCCAGAATCAAATGGCCTTCAGGATTAAGAATTCTAAAGTCAGAAACACCAGAAAGGGGGCCGAGCATGGTGCCTCATGCCTGTAATTCTAGTTACTTAGGAGGGAGAGATGTGAGGATGGCAGTTCAAGGACACCCTGGGCAAAGTTAGTGAGAAACCCTATATGAAAAACTAAAAGCAGAAAGGCTGGAGCATGGCTTGAGTACTATGTAGAGCACTTGTCTAGCAAGTATGAGGCCCTGAGTTCAAACCCCAGTACCACTAATGGGAAAAAAAAGACCAGAAAAGAATTTTCATCTCTGAGAGCCTCAGTTTTTCTACCTATAAATAGGAATGATGACCCCTGCCTCATGGGGTTGATGGGGTTGTCCTGAGGATGAAATGACATAATGGGCAAAAAGGACCAGAATGGTGCTGGCACTTAACAGGTGCTCAGTATCTCTGCACACTCTTTCCCAATTCACTGGGCTCCTAATGGGTAGGGGGTCTGAGATCACTGGTGCTTGGGTGGGATGTCCTCCTCCCTTAGTCCCAGAACAAGAGCTGCTTGCTGGAGGCCCTCCCACCACCATGGTGACACACAGCTGGGCATCCTTGTATGCCAGACGCTGGTACTTTGGCAGAGCAGGCCTTAGATCTCTACATATAATCTGTCCTTGGACCCAGTCCAGCCCTGGGCAGGGCCAGTCCCTGGGCTCAGCTGGTTTGCAAGGTACAGGTGTCCTTAAACATAACTGATGGCTGGGAAACACTAGCTTCTGGTTACAGATGTCCCTGTGCAGTCAGTCCCCGGACGTGGAGGGTCCCTGGCATAGACGCTCTCTGGGCATATTCAGTCCACAGGTAGACTCAGCCATCCCTCAGGCAGAATCTCAGTGGGCCACTCAGCCCTGGGTACAGATGGGCCCCAACACAGCAAGCTCTCAAAGGAGCTCTGGGGACAGTTGTTCC